CGGAGAGATAGGACCCGTCTGAGAGGTGGCACCGGTCGGGGAGATGGCACGGGGTTGCTAAAAAAATACGAGAACGGCACGATTTACATCCATTTACGCACCGGGGTCAGTGAGATCGCACACCGACCGCCAAACCCAAAGATTGAGCTCATTTTCAGCTGCCGGAGTGAGGTACATGTGTGTTCCTTATACATGTGGGGATGGTGTCAGCGGAGCGCCACCCCTGCATGTACGTATGCATGGTCGCGGTTCACACGGGATGCCAGTTGATTTCATATTTGAATTGGTATGGAAGTTGCCAACCGTATACTCTCAACTAGACACACAACGTACAAGCCACATCCTACCCCACCTTACACAACACGAAGCTATTGTTGCTTCGTACGTTGCTTCGTACGTACTGGTATCCGTAGAGGAACACCGAAACGAAAGCGGAAGACAACTGATGCCGTATGTACCAGTACCTCAGATGGAAACGACATCCTTTCTTGTCGTCACTCTATAGCCAAACTCGCATCAAACACGACACCACTCGCTGTATGGAAAGCTGTTACGTACCAGCCTACGTTGCCGTTACCGGTATGCTCCCACTCATACAACACCTGTGTGTATTTCATCGGAGATCGCACCGGTCGGAGAGATCGCACCGGGGTGCCTTGAAAATGTAATCAAAAAGATCTAATTGCATTCCCGCACCGGGGTCGGAGACATGGCACCGGGGCGCGATAAAAACTCAAGGAAGAACATTTAAAAAAACGATCGCACCCGGTGCCATCTCTCCGACCATGACGGTATCTCGAAACGGCATGTACGTACCACAAGTCCAGGACGAAATGGTATTGAATGCCAAAACGCAACCTGAAAATTATTGCCAAGTGGCCAAGTGGGCAAGTGGCCAAGTGGGCACCAGACAACTTTCTTGGACAGAACACAAAATAATTTCTACCCTCATCCGGATGGAACGCAATGAGCTGAACCCAATGGTAGGTAGGTCTGCCTTGTTTTCGATATAGGATCAAAAACGGCTCTTCGACAATTCGTTACTTTCACATTTGGGAACAGGTCTGGTTGTCCTTGGATACGCATCTTTCAAGCCAAGGCTCGAAGGCAAAAGATACATCGCGCTCTTGGAAACACAAAAAACAGCGAGCAGTCGATAGTACTGG